TTAAGGATTTCTAATAACCTTCGTGTGAAACAAATCCATCAGACACTTGGTGAAGATATAATCATACGCTTGAAAACGACCATTTGTGCAAATGCAGTGTCATAATGGGAAATTATATGTCACGGAGGACATGTTGCATTGAAATAGGGTATAATGAAGCCANTTCGGCCTGTTTGGGGCTGGTCAGTTTGATACTCTGAAACTGGATTTCACCTATGGCGACATGAAAACAATTTGAATCACTAGTGGATCTGGGATGATTAACTTGATTTAGTTTCCCTTCCTCAGAAAATGTATTTTCTTGCTCCACGAGAATTAAAATTATGCACTGATTTCGTTCAATCGGTTGAACTGTATGGTGAAAGTAATGATTGCTGGTTTAGGTCAAACTAGCAGAGGATGTTTATATATATGTATACAAATAATAGCAACTCTATTTCTCTATTAAAGTTCAGTGCATAAATATACTTTCGTATCGGAATGTATCGAAATCAAACATTCCGAACTGTGGCGATTAGGAAGAACAATTGAAGTTGTGAAGCATTAAGTGTGTCTTTCAAATACTAGAACGTTGTAAAGAACTGCTTGGTGGCTTTTTATTGGTCAGCCTTGTGTCACATATACACGTTCCATACAGTTTTGTTTTACGTCACTATCTTCGATGATCGATTACGGATCTGCGAAAACTATAACGTTCCAATTGTTTGTTTTCTTTTCTGTAAAATGTTTTCGTAAAATATTTATAAATAATGATTTGCCCGGGGAAATCAACACTACTCGGACAGCATGGAACTGGTCACGTCTCCTTCACAATTTGCTTGATGTGATATTTACCACATCGAACAGTAAGGATCTGCAAAGCGGATGATGAACAGGCATTTCGAAACATCATCCGCTTTCGGTCCTTCTCCCTCCCGTTCTCCTGTTGCCATTCCGCGATAGGCTGCGTCTCGGATTCATGCTTACAAGCAACTTGGACTCAATTGTTGGTCAGTAAACCAAATATATGATAACAGATTTTAAAAATGAATCATTAAAATTTATCGCACTTTTTTAATCCATTAGTTTGATTTTCAGTTTGCTCCAATCACCGGTCGAGATACAATGACGCTACAACGATGGATTTTTTCCCCCTGTGTTCTATGATTTTCAGTGTTTGTTTTTTAATTCAGCGTTCATTATACATTCCAAACAGTATCATAGTGAGAGCCACCCATCTCTGAGCCACATTCCGAAATATATTTGTCCCTCGGGAAATCTCAAGGGAGTTGTAAACTGAGACCAAAAAATAGATATCAGATTTGTAAAAACAAAAATCGGGGATTGTGCGACTTGTCTTGTTAGTGTAGACAATGAAACACCCTAAGATCAGAAATACAGAGGTATAGCGATGACGAATCACTGATTCCACAAAATAGGTTTTTCACGGTATTATGATGTTTTGTATAATACACAATAAATTATAAATTTCTACTTATTCCCTGATCACGTGCTATTGGGGATCTGTAACAATGAATATGGAAACAAAAGTTTCCTTTGACTAGCAAAATACTCTGAGTAACTGGACTTTGATTTGGGATGAATGGAAGCTGGAGTCATTTTGAGAGTAGCAAATTTGAAATAATCCATGCGATTGTTCACAGGCACCAGGCATTGCTATTGATGGTCTTGGGTATGGGAGATCGTTGATCACCCACTGGGTGAATGCGTTTATAAGCAATGGATGATAACCGACAAAGAGCACTGGACTCGTCCTGTTTTTGACTCATCAGCAATGCGTACGTTTTGTGTCCTTTTTAGGACTCGAACTGAAAACATTCGAGTCGGGACTTCAATCCTCTTACTCTTGAGCTGCCCAAAAATAATACAGTGCTACCGAGCCCGAAACGGGAAAAAACAGCCGTCCAGTGCTTTTTGGCGGTCATCACAGATCTTTCCATCCCTGAGATTTATTGTTTGGCTCTCTCATCTAAAATTCCTTCCTTGACAGTTTCACATTTAGATATGAGGTATTTACCAAACATTTAGAGCGGAAAAAACAAGATCTGCCTTGGCCCGGGGCAACCTGGCAGTACTCGACCCGCATGTATATCATGGAACATTTTCTTTTTCGTAAAGATTTGTTTGACACACGGTCTGGATTCAGACTTGTGTGATATATATATATATATATAAAGACCTCTTGTTTGATGGATTATTTGAATAACTGAATAAACAATTCCTGGGAGCAGGACTTAGACCGCTCATCGGGTGTGTTCGATACACTCCAAGGTCAAGCGATTATCACGTTTGAACTCATGTAATTTGCATTTCGTCATAACATTCTTACTCGGATCTTATGGACTAAGTTCACCACAAAACTCAAGCTCAGAATCATCATACTCACTATATCACTAGTATTATTATTATTTTACTATTATTACTATTTTATTGTTGACGCTTGTAATCCTAAAAGCAAGAAAACTAGCCCAGATCGTCCTAAAGAGATTTGTTTTATCGTTCCCTGATACTCATCTATCATTCGATAATACATTTGGGTAAATCGATTTTTCCGGGAGGCCAAGAATGATATCTCATTACAGTTGTATGAGTAATGTTGAAGATAATGATCAAAAATTCCTACCAGTCTCCAAAAAAACACAGATTCAATACATCTCTTTTCTAATGTTCCTTCGAAACAGTGATTGCCTACAAATGAGAGATAGCCGTAAGAGATCCAGTTTCGTCTGCGAGTCACGTGAAATGGGAGTATGATCAATATGTATTCGAAATGCCCGATCCTATGCACGCCTAAGATTGGTCCATTAGGCAGTTTTCACGGTTAAATATTTTGCTGTTGATTTTATCATTCAAATGATGAAACAGTGTACTGAACTTGGAAATGGTCATTGAGAGCGATCATAGGTGAACCATACAGAGAGGCACACAGATGGTAAAGCGTTGTGACTAAAACCATCTGTGTGAGAGAGAGGATGTTTGGTAACTGTACAATAGGAATAGTTTTCCAAAGGTCACATAATTTATACTCACTTCAGATTGTGTTTGACCCGATCTCTTTCGCGAGTCAGTTTATCATTTTCCAAACCCTGCGCTTCCAATTCATCCCGGAGACGTGACAGCTGATCGGCAGTTCTTCGTCGTTCGGTGTCCAGCTCTTCTGAGCGTCGAAGCAAAGCTTGAACCTGATCCCGCAAGCCGCGAGTACGATATCTCAAACGATGAACCTAAAGAGCGCGTGATCGAAGTAGGTGAGTCACATGAAAGTCGTTCGTTGCATCATTCTGTTTGTGTTACACTATTTGCGTCCGTAACATGATAGTAATTCATGTTCGAGCTCATCGTTGATATTTGCCAATACCAACAACTTTGAATCACGTTCATCACTTGCCACAGAGTGAATAAATTTGATTTCATGACCTCCAAACCGATCCCGCTAAACACACACACACATACACAAGGATATATATGTATAAATATTGAAACATATATTTTCCGAGATAAACTGGAAGAGGAAGAACACAACAAAGCTAGGTTGCTTGATTTACGCCAAAGCAGATTTCGCTGCATCCTAACTGGTACCATACGGCATAAAACTACAGATATATATTTGAACAGTACATCAGATTATACAAGAATACATAGACATTGAATCATTATTCACTAATATGCCAATGAGTGAAACAATCGAGTACTTTTTACAGTATATCGAGCAGCATTACCTGACTGTTGGTCTGCCTTTGTCGGAGCTGTAACGCCTCTTGCTCTTATGTGCATCAGACATCAGTTTCAGTTTCCAAGGTAAAGCTTATCGACAAATATACGGTGTGGCGAAGGGGAGCCCCTTGGGGCCTATCTTAACAGACTTATTCGTCACGAAGTTGAAAAGCGAGGCGGCACATACCCTAGACCAATTTACATTATTTAGAAGATACGTTGATAATATACTCGTCATAAAACAAGACCGACAACAAGTAACTTCCTTCCTTCGAGTCATGAACAGTTTGCACAAAATACCCGTGTCTCACTGGAAAAAGAACGAAACGATCGCCTCACATTTTTTGACATTCAAATGACAAGGAGGCAAGATGGAACGATTAGCAGGACCGTATGCCGCAAGAGTACATCGACGGGCCAACACATACACTTTCGTAGTTTCGTATCACTCAACTACAAGCGTGGTGTAGTAAGGACACTATCCCATCGAGCATCTCATATTTGCACTGAGGATAGCCCACAAGCGGAACTAGATCAGCTCCAATCAATTCTTGTCGAGAACGGCTACCCTGGCAGTTTTATTAGGAAGTTCGGTCGGACACCGGAGCGAAAACCAGCTATTTACGACGTCCCAAAAAGGTTTACA